TATATTTCTATATATTATATACTCTATATCATATACTCTATATTTCTATATATTATATACTCTATATCATATACTCTATATTTCTATATATTATATACTCTATATCATATACTCTATATTTCTCGTATCACCTGTCCCCTCTCAACAAAACGCACAGCCCTCGAGGACAGGGGTTTTGTCTGCTTTACTCCATGCACCCGGCACGCGGTAGGAGCTCCAGACACATGCCCACCATCCGCACCCACCGAGGCCTCTGACGTGCAGGTGGAGTTCCTCCCTCTGCTTTCCTTTCAGCTGTGTTTAATGAGTGGAGAGATCATACAGATGAGCTCCAAGATGAGTCTGATCTTCGAGCCTGCCGACCTGGAGCAGGCCTCGCCAGCCACCGTGAGCAGGTGGGTCACCTCGCTCCGCCCGAGCGATGGGCGAGCTCTGGGAGTGCGTTTAAGCCCCGGGAGGTCGCATTATTTGTTGTAGCTTAGATTTGTCATAAAATTGGTCCTTAATATGCATTGCTGGTTATAGGCTCAAATCAAGTCAGCACTTTGGAAAAGAATTTGACATTATCTCCTAAGATTGAAGCTTCATACGCCTCCTGCCCGACACGTCTGCTCCCAAGTGTATATCCCAAAGAAACCTTGGCCCACATACAATGCAGACCTCCGCCCACATATGAGCATGTCCATAGTGGCACAGTTCACAGTAGCAGCACTTGGAAACAACCCAAATGCCCACTGACAGGAGTGACTTAATGTGTAACAAGGTCACCAATTATACAGCACTCAAAATAAATGAGTGGTACTAACATGCAACTCTGGGGATAGATCTAAGTCAAATACTAGTGTATTAAGGATAAAATCTTAGCAATATTCTGTATAAAAGTAAACCCACAATATTACATACATCATAGTGCCCCTGTTTACATGGTTAAAAACTAAAATAAGTACACAGACATGTTAGGAACACACAGAGCTGCCATAAGCTATGTAAGACGGAAAATCAAGGAACAGGCAAACGCAGGGTTTCACGTGCTGTTACCTCGGGAGAAAGCCAGGGGCCAGGACAAGGGAGCCCATATGCTTAGAAGGTTCTTGTCAAGATTCCAGCTTCTGTCTGGGTGATGAGTTCATGGGCACTTACACATTATTGAAACATTAACTAAGAAAGGCCACGCCTGCCCAGGCCAGGGGCTCAGTTGGTTGGAGTGTTTCCCGTACACCGAAAGGATTGATGTTTCTCTCTCACATCAATGTTTCTCTCTCTCTCTCTCTCTCCCTTCCTCTCTCTTTCTAAAAATCAATGAAAAACACATCACTGGGCGAGGATTTTAAAAAAATAGAAAAATGGCCGTGCTAGTGAAGCATGTGTTCTAGGGACAATAATTAATCCAACCCTATGCACCTTAAAAAATAAAATAAAATTGGCCTACATTCCCAAAGACGAAGTGAGGGAGTAAAAAGAGCACATGGCAAGTTAAACCAACCTGGGCTCGCAGCCTGGTCATGCCACTTGCTAGCTGTGTGACTGCTCCCAAGTCACTCAGCCTCTCTGAGCCATGATCCCCTCGTGTCTAAGACAGAGACCGAAAGGAGGAATATTTAGAGATGAAGCCACTAGGGCCTAACATGGTGCTGGCATGCCATGAGGGGTCAATGAGTGAGACCTGGCATTGGTACCTAACCAGAGAGCACCTGACTGTGACAGACAGAAGAACATGTGCTGCATAAACCGTGGCATGTCAAGGCCCTGGCGTAATGTTCAGTGGTCAGAGCATCGGCCTGTGTCCTGCAGGGTCCTGGGTTCGATTCTGGTGAAGAGCATTTGCCTTGATTGCAGGCTCAATCCCTGGCCCCATTCGGGGCACGTGCGTGAGGTAACCAATTTGTGTGTCTCTGACATCGATGCGTTTCTTTCTTTCTCTACTCCTCACTTGCACTCTGTCTAAAAATCAATGGAAAAAGCATCCTTGGGGCTCAGCCGGCATGCCTCAGTGGTTGAGCGTCTACCGATGAACCGGGAGGTCAGGGTTCAATTCCTGGTCAGGGCACATGCCTGGGTTGTGGGCTCGATTCCCAGTAGGGAGCACGCAGGAGGCAGCAGATCAGTGATTCTCTGTCATCATTGAGGTTTTTCTCTCTCTTTCCTTCTATCTTTCTCTTTGAAATCAATAAAAAAAATTTTTTTAAGTATGCTTGCGTGAGGATTAACAAACAAAAACTGTTGCATGTCAGTACATGGGAACATACACTAGATAACGATAGCAGTTGCCATTGATCCGGAATTTCCTAGGTGCTGGGCATAGTGCTAAACTCTTTTTTTTAGTGCTAAACTCTTCATTGGCATCGTATCCATTACAACAGCACTATGAACTATATATCTTTTATATTCCTCAATTTATAGACAAGGATATAGAATCAGAGACAGTAAGGAAACCTGGCCCATGGTCACTCAATTAGCAGGATCTGGGGCTGGGATTCCAACCAGGTACCTCTGGCTCCCAAGCCCCCCCCTGAACACTGGCCTCCGCCCTTCCTGCCCAAATGCCTGGGCCCTTCCATGTGGCCCGGACTGAGCACTGCCTCGCCCACGCGCTTCCAGGTGCGGCATGATCTACATGGAGCCCCACCAGCTGGGCTGGAAGCCCCTGAAGGACTCCTACATGGACACCCTGCCCTCCACTCTCACTGAGGAGCACAAGGAGCTGGTGAGCCGCTTCCCTCTCCCGCTTGGCTGCCCTCCTCCCCTGGAGGCCTTCACCTTCACCACCCCAGGAGGCGCGGAGAGCAGGGAGCCCCACTTGCCCGCTCCTGGCTTCCTGGCTGCCATTTCCCCCTCTTCCTTCTCCATGTGGTGG